GGCACACAAGCGCCGGTTTCGGCTGAAATTTGGGCAACGTGGCCTGAGACGTGCCTGGAACCCAGTTCAATCGCCAAAAAGATCTCCGAAATTGCCTTCATTGTCCCTTTAAAGGGGGGGGGGGGGGGGGTGAGTGTAGGAACGAGGTTCTGCCACCACGCCCAGGGGCCGCTACCGACCGCCCAAAAAGGACGCAGTCCGAAGCGCACAACAGCTGATGAGGAATAGGCGCGAGAGCCTATAAAAGGACGACACGCCCACAGAACAGGGGAGACGGACCGAGGTCACGGAGGCGTGTAGGTCGAGGGCTACGGCAATGTTATACTTTAATACTAACAACCCATTCTTGTTACTCTAATAAATGTAGTTTCGTGTTTTGGAAACCCCGGCTTCGTGTTGTTCTTCCCGGATGGGCATGCAGCAACCAAGGCAACCCTACCCCATATTGTGGGATCAAAATCATCCGCCTGACAACAGTCGAGCGCGGCTCATGCATTGGGCACGAGAACTGCGTGAGCACTCTACTTCGGCTCGTAACAATCGATGCCTCGGCGAAGACTCGGCTAGTGGCTCGTGTCCAGCCACTGCGGTGATGAGAATATCCGAACTCTAAAAATGGCCGGACCTCAGCACGCGCTTTCTACATTGCCAACCCCAAGGCGTGGGTATGATTAACGTTGACTGCACAGGATAGGCACCAGGCCACGTGGAGGCTTGCTCTGGCTCCAAATTGAGGGGATGAACGAGGCTCATATTTCTCGAACCTTTTGGCGACTGCCGTTGACAAAAAAGAAAAACTAAGGGAATTTTATTGTGTTGTTAACGTTAAGGGATGAAAATATTTAGTGAAAGTAGAAACATTATTTCATGGCTCCTTAAAGCCTGGGTTCACTCACTTCCGACCACTTCGACCGAATTTCTTAAATCGTCTTGGGATCTCTTACGACGGGCGAACACAGTTGCGCCATCTATTGCGTAGCGGTGGAACATTTGGCATTTCCCTGTATTCATTTTTAAGTGGAAGCTGAAGCGGCTTTGTATGTAAGGAAACACACCTAAATCGTCTGAATCTGACCTCCAAAGTCTCAAATATTAAAATCATGCCTTTGTTTTTTTGTGTTTTTAAATTTCGTGCATGGAGGCTCCAGAAAATCATTTTCAAAGTAGCGCTGAAGTCCCTCCTTTCCGGTGCGTGACGTCATAAGAGGAGTTATCGGGATCTCCACTCTCGCGCATTTTTAGTGCCTGTCGAAACTATGCACGCGTATTCTTGCTATTTTTAAAAAATGGCAAAAAAGACTTCCCGACTGGTACGAGTGCGGGGGAATATACCTAGCAAGGTTGCAATGGACTTCTTCCAAAACCGACGCGCCCCATCGCGGCGAAATACCACGCAGTGCACTCTAGGAACTAGTTGGCCACTCAGTTTCGGTTTCGACTGAGCAGCTTCATCTCATGCTATCACGCCTTGAACGAACGCCCTGTTTTCGATTATCTGACTTTTCTCGAACGTACTATACACTCATTCTCGAGCGATATAAACTTTCCTTGGTTCCCGAAACACAGGATATTGTCCGTGCGTATGCAAACGTAGTAAGTGTGGCTTAGTCACCTCACCCCCCGAGTGCATCTTTGAGCTCAATTTCAATAATGCCGTCTAGTACCAGTGAGCTAGAATTGAAATTTGTTCATCTGGAGCCTTACACGTATTTTGTTTGCCAAACGTCCGCTTCTTGTTACTTTATTGGGCGAAAAGCAAGCCGCATCCTCACAGGGTATCAAAGTTGAGCCCAGCGTTTACGCATGAACCTTTAAGGAAACGCAATAAATTCGACCTCACACTCCACAAAAGTTACTATGATGTCTTCCTCGTGTCATCATATATCTCCCACTCAAATTTTATGCTTATAGAAGATTAACTTTTCGCAAACGCTGAAATCGGCTAGCTACGACGGAGGCCTTAACAATCGTCCCCTACTCCTCGCTAAGCCTTTTTGGGCGAGCTTTTACTGACGCCCAAGATCTGTGCATGAACGGTGTGCCTGAAATTATCTCGTCATACTCATGCAGGAAGAAAGTAAACATATAACAAATATTATGGCCATTAGCAACCGTCAAACGCGCTTTGAATTCATTCGTTTGGCACATCACATAGGGGTTCATGCCCGTCCGGCGCACTTCCGGCGAACAGTGCGACATTCTTCACACAAGTGCTTGACTTTTGCTTTCTTAAACGGTCTGTATGTGCGAATTTGCCTATATGATTGGCAGGATAACTTTATGCGCATACGCGATGTTGAATATTAGTGGAATGCAAGCGGATGGGGACTTCACTTCGTGAAGTGCCGCGGGTCAGTGCAGATAAGAGATATGAAGTGTGTTAAAATTGAGCTTTTCAATGGCGCCTCCGAGTTTTACCTCGCATACTCAGGCATATTAAGAAAAACAGTAATTGCAAAAAGTAATATTTCGTCTATGGACGCGCGAAACAAACAAACTTCCTGATCAACAACACTAATATAAAGGCGCGAGCTCGATGTATGCATACTTATTGTTTGTTACAGCTTGTTGATTCGTACACAAGCAAGATCCCCGAGCTTCGCAGCGTCGAGATTCCCAGCACTGGCTCGTCCACATACCTAGATTGGAACGCTAACAGGAAGGCTCAAGTACAAAATTACAACAAGCATGTGTTAAGACAAGCTAAACGTCTCAGGCTTGTGCTAAGCTTCGAGGTCTGGCCATATAGGTTAGTTTAGAGACCAGAAATGACGCTCTCGGGACCAGAAAACATGAGATAACGGCCGTTACTAGTACACGCTCTATGTATAATCTCTTGTCGACGTGTCGATCGAAACCGAAACCGTGCCACCCTCCTCCCTGGCCAACTAGTTCCCAGAGTGCAACGCGCGCCGTGTTGCATGCAGGGCTTTATGGAAGTAGTCTATTGCACCTGCGGTCCTCGAGAGGCACGTGCTTGGCGGCCAAAAGATCCTCGTATGGCGTTACGACAGGTCGTAGGTTTTTCGTCCTTCCCACTTTTAGTTATATGTTCCTGAAAAATGAAGGTGATCTTTAGATTTACGGAATAAAACTACACTGGAATCAACAACTATAGCAGTTTTCAAAATGCATTTTTCAGCTTCCTTTTAATGCGCTAGCATTAGTACTAACGTGACAGGGAAAAGCTGACGGCGTTTGTCTGCGGACAAAACAGTGCATGTAAATGGAAGCGCGCCACGTAGAGAGGAGCAGATTAGTGGAGGACAAAAGCGAGAGGGAGCCGACGTCATGAGGCGGAAACCAATGCGCGCGCAGGAAACCGGTGAACAGCCAAAGCAGGCGTGTGACAGCGGATGCCGCTGCTAATCGTGCAAGGCGGGAGAACGAGACTGAGGGCTGGGAAGCAGCGCATAGCTCGGTTGGCCGAAACGGGGCGCAACAAGCGGCAAGCCGACGCGGGTCTGGGTGTGACAGAGACTGGGGGCGAAGCGGGCATGGCGAACTCGCTTCGCCGGAAAAAAATAATTAATCATTGGTAGATTTTTAAAGAATACGTTAGTATTAAGCCTTGGGATACGCCATACACGTCCCCCTTTGAGGAACGCTAACAATGAGCCCTTAACGAAGCCAAAAATAACCGGCGACAAATAGAGGAAGCAAAAAAGAAAGTGAAACGAGAAAACCTAAGCAGAAAAATGAAACGATCAGCTTTAGCGCTTCCCAGAGCAAGACGTGTGTGGCGTTTCCCAACGATCAATTGCTCACGTATTCCTTAAGGTTCCACCGATAGAACGATTCCTTCTTTATTCCCGCATGCTTATTTATTTATTTTTATTTAAAAACGCTTTCGACAAAGTTTAAAACGAACACTGCTCATGTATAGTACGTACATTTCATCTCGCGGGTACTATGACACCTTCACTTCAGTGAGATGCAGTTCCAGGGTCACCATATAGATGGCGGCAGCATGCCAGTGTGTTCCCTCGTTGTAAGAGATCACAAAAACTCGTTCGTAAGCAAACGTAATTGTGGGAACGGGTCTCTAGAGAGAATGATGACGAGCTCGAACAGTTGAGCATGTCATCCTCTCTTCGGCTGCAAGACGTCCCGTTTCCGGGAAACATCGGTGCGATCTGCGATGTAAGAACCGGAAAGCCATGCCCTTCCAATCTAACGAGCTACGTTCCATTGTTCTTTAACAACCACATTGGACCGGTACTATAATCAGTGTCACCAGAAGTCCGATTGCAGCCGACGCTACAAACCGACGAGGCCGATCAAGCAGCTCCAGAAGTGCATCGTCACAGCGCTCGTTGTCTTTGTGGGTATCACCTGCTTAACCAATCGCAGAAAGAAAGAATGCGGAAAATGTCGGCGCATTCCCAGTGCGTGATTGTTTAGTTGGTGATAGCAAACGAAAAAAGGCAATGGCCGCTGTGACGACGCACATCTAGGCACTGTTAGATCGGTTCAATAAGGTGGTAGCGTCAGCTGCAGTCTGTTTGGGCGTTGCAAGCATTACATAACAGACGTTTGTCCAAGTAATTGGGCAGGGCGAACGTGAAATCGATAGAACTGAAATAAAATATCCAGGTTTTATCACATACCGCCTCCATATGTTACGTAAAAATAATTAAATGGAGCTTCTCCAAGACGCCGTTTTAACGTAGATTTTCGGAAGTATCGCAGAAAACAATCCTCCTAACTTCGGATGCATGTTTTAAGTTATACAGACTATATGCTTCTAAAAAAAAAATTATTTTGCAAATAAACATGTGTATGAATGCACTCTGTAAATAAACCATTCTATTTTTTTTTTTTTTTTGCAGAACAGTTTACTTTTTTTTTTTACTATACAGTTTTTGAGCTGCTGAAATATTTTTATTTGTGCATACCTCCACCCTTGAAACACTAGAAACTGATCAACATTAATTGGATGTATTCTAGCGTACTCTCAACTGATTGCCATAGAGTGCAATGTTGTGTCTCTCGATTCGTCATTTTTCATGTCCGCTGCACATATCTTTATCGTAGATTTGGTATTGCTCTTTGCATCGGTTTAAGTATTCTTGTTTGCATTTAGTGATGTTAACGTCGACAATTGATTGGTCTCTGGAAGCAACCGCGTTTGCAATATCATCAGCGTATTGTTGATAGCCTTCTTTGACCCAGAGTTCACATTCTGGAATGAAGAAATGGGAATATTATAAGCTTTTTTGTTGGGTCCTTTTCCACCGCTTTAATGCTTTACGCGACAGAGTATGACGAAATATTATTTCCATGGACTTTCCAGTTATTGATTATGTTCACGCGAAAATCTTTTCAATCAAGACTCTTTAATGTTCACAACCAACAATAAAGCAAGTAAAGTTGGCAAGAAACATATAGCCTCGATGATAAGTTTTTTTTTAATATGCCACATGTATTTTTTTATAAGGAAATGAACATGTGAGACAGTCACGCGCTAACTTACACATCCCTAAAGAGTGATGTTTTGGGTTCACGTTAGAATATTAGAAAATATTACAAAAAACTAACGCTCGTAATATCACATGAGGGCCAATAAATAATAACGGAGCAGCAGCAAGTTACAACACGAGAGCAATAAATTCATCAGAATGTTTTCAATCTGTAACAGGCATTCAGCAACCGTAGAAAAACTCGAAATGGTTTATTTTTTGTTTTGTTTCATTGGTGAAACTCAACTAGAGGGGTTGATCAAATTATCTACTTCAAAAAAATACGTGTTTTCTTAAACGTGAAGCTGACGGTACGCACGAAAGTAAGTATCTCATGCACAACATAGTAAACATTTTGAGTTCTTATGAGAGATTTCACTGCGGAGCATTTAGAGTTCAGAATACCTAACGTTTCAAGCATTTTTCACCTACGAAGTTTTACTTTATGTAAACATAATTGAGAGTTCGACTTGAAAACAAGTTCGGCGTCCCTAAAGCCGGGGTGGCACTGCTTATACATCACACAAAAGACAGTCTGCATACAGATTCGAATGCGAGTGACCGCGAGATCTGTGCTTCAAGAGTGGCATGACAATGAATTCAAGGATGAAACTTGGCACGCGGCATTCGAACCACGGATATTTCGCGTACTCGTGTTTGCAGACTGTCTTCTGTATGATGTATGAGCGCTGTGGCCCCGGCCTAAAAGTTGGCAAAATAAATATATAATTGTATTTCATTAAAACACTTAAAACGTTCTACTAAACCTTTTATTTCTCCTGTATACCTTAACAACAGCCTGGAAAACGTGCCGTCATCGGATCACCAATTCTCACCAGGGGGATGCAGAGGAGAGGCGTTGGAAGATTGATATTTGTACGTATACGGACGATTCAAACCAAATAAAATCTAAATTCCTAACTTAGAAATGGGTAAGACATATTTCCGTACTTTTTACAGTAGTTGACTTTTCATCATTATTTATAAAGCCCAGAAGGTATCGAAACGAATCTGAAGCATCGGAACATCGATAAAGGTATTCAATCACGGAACGATTGCAACAAAGCAATCCCCAGAAAACTGAGAAATCTACGTACGTCATCACGAATAGCCCAGGCTAGTATTCACACCAATCTCTTCCAAATTATTAAGGCGCTGTCCTCATTGAGTAACCAGGTGGACCGATCTACCCGTCGACACGAGGAAAACGTGTTTCCGGCGATTTTGTAACTTCCCAAGACACTTCGATGAGCACACTTTCAGCTCTCGAATTATTTTGTTCATTGACGGAGGATGCTGTCGCAAGTTAATTACGTCTGCTGCTCTCAGGTGTCACTTTTTAGGAAGTCATCGGCATTCGAACGCCCAAGGGCAAGTTCGGTTAGCTGCGAGGAGTTCGGAAATTTTTCAGTGCACTTTGGCAATATGCTTATGTGGATTGTCGCACAAGGGAGGCTTTGCTAAAACAACTAAAAAGGCCACATCACCGATGGTATCTTGGTTGCGTGTCCGTACTCCAACTGCCACGAGGTATCTGGAGCGAAATCATCGTCCACGGCACATTTGAGCGGGGAGTTTTCACCTTTGACGTGTTTCTTGGGCGACGGCACATCGCCTGCAGACCCGCTTCAAGTTCAGGACCCTTCAACCCCATACACTAGTGCGGATTCTAATGAAGACGGTGCTGTTACCGTGAGGAATTCCCGTGATGGTAACAACAACGTGTTTGTAGGGAGTTTAAAACAAAATCATTTTTGCATATCCCATACGGTACAATGGGCCCTCCGTTAGGCAATGGGCATGCGCAATCACAAAAGTGTAGCATATGCGCAGTTCGTCCCGGAGGACCCATCGTACTTTATCAGATGTGCAAAAACGGTCCCCTCAAATTCTCTATAGTTTTTATATTCGGAAGCCTTGCTTCCCAAGCACCATATATGTTACACTATCCAGGCGTCCTTCTGGAGTTTGGTCCACTGATCAATACGTGGACAACGAGGTTCGAATCAAATCACTCTTACTTTAAGAACTGTGTGCGACAACTGAAAACTTCAAATCACTTTGCAAACGTACCCTAGCGCAGGGGCATCGGTTACTTCAAGCTTACTTGCATTTTGGCCCATTTTTCAGCCCCACTGTGAACTATAGAAGCAGTACCCCATTCAATATACAGGCTTATTGTATTAAATTGCAGCAGTGTGTCAGGAATTCGGGAATATAGTTAGTAGGTGCTAGTGTGACAGACGAAGTGATCTACATGGGAACGGCCTACACTCATAGAGTATTTGTGGCACTCTAGTCGCATGAACATGTGTTCGGGAAAATTCTTCAGGGTTTAGTGGTAAATAAAGACTGTTTTGTTTACGCTGCGAAATTTTTCTGGGGGGTTCATGTCACCGTTCCACTATTACGCGGTTTGTGATATGTGTGATTACGTCGGTCTAAATGCCTGACACCGCTGAGTGATTACTTTCCGCTTCCACATTACAGTGTTCATAAAAATCTATCCTAATTAGGGGGATCGGTGGCCGAGTGGGCTAGCGCACACCAGCTCGGAGCACGTGGATCGAAATCTCGCGCTGCAGGACCCAGGGATCATGGGTTAAATCCTTGCCCTTGCCCATTACGATTTGAATGAGCATCGTACCAGCGTGAGCATTGTGCGGCCGTGTATTACGATTCACTACTGCGTGATATACGTTAAAGACCCCAGGCTAGCGGCTGTACTGCACTGGCTAAATTTGTTATCTACAGCTGGGAGACAAGTTGCCAGTTGAGGCAGACTAAGTTTTAAGTTGTATAGACATACACACACCCCAATTTTTTATTTTATTTTTTTTTTCTGTCCTAATTGTGAAACACATGGTTTCATTTCAGGATGGATTCAGTCAAGAAGAAAGATCTTTTTGTATTAGATAACCTGTCGGATCCGGAAATCAGTGGTGTGATGACATTTTTGCAAAAGCTTGGTGTTAGGACAAGCAGTGACCTTGGCTGTAGTAGTGAAGCAGAGTTGGTCGGTTGCCTGTAACGAATTCAAGAAGGGAACTGTTTGTAAGCTTCTGCGCTAAAGGTAAGATTTTTTCCCTTGGAATAATAGGAAGTTTTCGTATATTGTTCCGGCAATCCCACAACGCTCTTCGCAACCCGCTACGATACCCGGAACTCTACAGCCAAGGCCATTGGCGTGCAGTCGCAGTAGCAGCCTTTTTGTTGCGGAGGTCTTAGCGGAGGCGGAAACGCGGTTTACGAGAACTCCCTATTGAGGCAAAATCTCAGGTTGGTGCCACTAGTTAGGCAGGTTGCATAATTTGTCGGCTTAACAGTCGTCTGTTGGTGTTAGACTTTTATAGACTATTGAAACAAATAGTAGGCGCTTGATGGATAGAGTGTTCTTTATATGTATCATAGTTTATGCATTAACTTACAAATACTCTCAGGGCCCTTAGGGGCTTTCGAGAGGGGACTGATGGCCGCTGAAACCAACGAACACATTGGCTAAAGGGTGAAAACTACCGAGAGCGGGCTCGGTTTTCCCATTGCAAGTTTGGAAAATATGGTGAGATAATGGTAAGTTTTGAACCTTTGGCATATGTTACGGACAGCTAGCGCTATATTTGGGCGGACGTACGACGATCCATACAATAATTTTGTGGCGAAAAAACACTACATGTTTCGGAGGGGGGGGGGGGGGCGGCACGCGGTGCATTTAAAAGTCGCTCCTACAAATAACGGAAACGCGAAGGGAGAAAACTTTGTTCGTAATCCTGCCTTATATTTTTTATGACATAAATATGTCTTATTATAATATAATAATTAATATTATTATTTATTTTTACGGGGAAACGGCCTGCTTCTTCTTCTCGTGAAGCAGAAGAACCACACTCAAGGGATTCTACACTATAACCCAGTACAAGCACTGAGTTACCGAGCTCACAGCTAGACCTCAAAGGGGTGGAGAACTTCGTTGCACCATGGAGCGACATGCCTGGGGCCCTGCAAGCTTCCTTGAAGTTCAACAAGCGACCAGAATCCAAGCATCGCAGGGAGATGGTTCGCATCATAGTGAAGACAGCCACGACTACATGCAACCGGCCCTTAAAGAAACATCTCGACGGTATGTCACGCAAGACAGTAAGGAATCATCCATTTTTCAGAGACGTTATTAATGGACACGTCGTGGGGACCGCGTACAAGTCTTTGCAAAAACAAGTTGATTCCGATGGTTGATAACAACCTTCGGCAGGAGAAGTCATGCCACTTCGAAAAGGAAGCCCTGCTGAAAAAAACCGTATACTTTTAGTACGGGTACTACCCGTTTGGGTCATATGGTGTTATGGACATACAGGTCCCGTATTCAGTCGGGTCGGGTCGACCCGACTGAACCATGCTGTTTGTGGTTGGGTTGACCCGACCGTAGACACGGGTCGACCCGACCGTAGACACGGGTCGACCCGACCGTAGACACGGGTCGACCCGACCGTAGACACGGGTCGACCCGACCGTAGACGCGGGTCGACCCGACCGTAGACACGGGTCGACCCGACCGTAGACACGGGTTGACCTGACCGTAGACACTGGTCGACCTGACTGTAGACATGGGTTGACCCGACTGTAGACACGGGTCAACTCGACCTACGACACGGGTCGACCTGACTGTAGACACAGGTCAACCCGACTATAGACACAGGTCGACCTACGTAAACCAGCAGATACGGGTGCC